GGGCCGCGCGGGAGCTGCCCCGGACGGGCTCGGCCGAGGCCTCTGCCCAGCTCTGCGCCCTGGTCAGCGCCTGCGCCAGCGCCCTCAGGGGGCTGCAGGGCCTGGACCCCCCCCGGGGGGCTCCCGAGCCCCCCCCGAAACCCTGAACATACCATGAAACCCCCCCAAAACCCTGAACATCCCTGGGACCCCCCCAAAACCCTGAACATCACTGGGAACCCCCCAAACCCTGAACATCCCTGGGACCCCCGAACCTGCATCAGTGCCCTCAGGGGGCTGCAGGGACTGGACCCCCCCCGGGGGGCTCCCGAGCCCCCCCCGAAACCCTGAACACCCCTGGGACCCCCCGAACCTGTGCCAGCGCCCTCAGGGGGCTGCAGGGCCTGGACCCCCCCTGGGGGGCTCCCGAGCCCCCCACGAAACCCTGAACATACCCTGAAACACCCCCGAAACCCTGAACATACCATGAAACCCCCCCGAAACCCTGAACATCCCTGGGACCCCCCCAAAACCCTGAACATCACTGGGAACCCCCAAAGCCCTGAGCATCTCTGGGACCCCCCCAAAACCCTGAACATCCCTGGGACCCCCCGAACCTGTGCCAGCGCCCTCAGGGGGCTGCAGGGCCTGGACCCCCCACGGGGGGCTCCCGACACCCCCCCGAAACCCTGAACATCCCCTGAACCCCCCCGAGCCCCCCCTCAAACCCTGAGCACCCCCAGGACCCCCAAACCTGTACCAGAGCCCTGAGGGGGCTGCAGGGACTGGACCCCCCCAAAAATCCTTGAACACTCCCAGACCTGCCTGAAACCCCCCCTGAGCCCCCCCCCGGGACCCCCTGAACCTGCGCTGAGGCCTTGGGGGGGCTGCAGGGCCTGGACACCCCCCCGGAGCCCCCCCAGACCCCCATAAATGTGCTGCCTGTGGTGGCCCCCCCCCAAATCCCCCCCAGTGTGTCCTGTTTGGGTTGGGGGGTGGGTGGGGATCAATGGATGGGGGGGGGATCAATGGATGGGGGATCAATGGATGGGGGGGGGATCAATGGATGGGGGATCAATGGAT